ATTAATAATAATGTTTTAATAAAATACACATTTTTTCCTACTTGTGTAGGACACACCAAATATACAGGCATGGGTAAGCATTATTTAAATTTCATAAATTCGGTTTATGGTTAAGTTACATGGTTGCTGGCGTTTTTGTCTTAGGTCTGTGGGAACAATATGATAACCATAAAAGTCATTCAATGGAGCACATCATGAAATATAGGAATATTGTCTTCGCATTAACAAAAAAACCCAAGTATGTTTTGGATGGATTAAAAATACTTGGGAAAAAATAAAGCTTGAAGTAATTCCTCAATATAACTTGGGTGTGTACAAATCCGAATCTTATTTTTGATTTGATTTATATCCAAATTGGGTAATAAGGAAGCTATTTTACAGATACGATCAGTTATGTTATAAGCTACAATCGTGACGTTGTATTACAAATAGATACTTTTCCATTGGTATAAGAGTATATTCCACAAATGTAATCCAGGTTGCGTCGTGGAGAAAGTTAATTCGTTATTAACCAGGCAACTGAAAGATACGGGACCAATAATGTTTGCAGATCATTTGTCATTGTAAATGGTCAAATATCCACATTATTCATTCTCATTCAAAAAGTCAAATGGAAGCTGAAATGGTGAGAGAAAAAAGAAGACAAACAACAGCAACGCAAAAGAAAGCAACGGGAGTCCTTAAGGAGTGATTAATAAATATATACATATATATTCTGTTTAGTAACTGTGGTTATTTTTGTACACAAACTAACTAGTCCCGTTATGCTAACTTTTATATTATGTGTGAACTAATATTACTGTCCTGTGTAGAAATGTTTATCATCTAGTTCCAATAATATTAAAATTTATAATTGTAGTTTGTTGTAACTACACGTTTAAAGAACTTAAAATATCTATGTAGGGTGAAAAAGAAGGTGTAAGAGTCAGGCGCAAAAGTGCATTGTCATCTTTGAGCAGTCTGGTGACTGAGGAGATGAACACTGGAAGTGTGTTTGCATCGCGCACATTAGCTGGTAGTCTATTCCAAATGACTGAAAACTTATTTAAGAAGAAGTTGTACCGCACGTAAGTCTGACAGTGCTCCATAGCAGCTAGGTTGTGATGATTTCTAAGATTGTAACTGATGACAGCGGTAGGTTTAGTTATTGGCTCGGAGGAATGCAAGAGAAGATTAGTTAGCTTGTAGTAAAAGATAAGGTTTAGCTTAAGGCGTCTTTTCCAGAGGGGTTCTAATCTTAGTCTTTCGCATCGCTCATGGTATTCCAGACCACTTTCTAAACCAAGAGTTCTTGAGGTAAACTGCCGTTGCACTCCCTCTAATTTAAGCTTGTCATTTTGTCTTAGTCCGCTAAGAATAAACGGGCAGTATTCTAAGATAGGTCGGACACATACTTTGTATAATAAAACCCTAGTTTCACAACAAAAGAAATTGCGTGTTATGCATCCTATCAGCCTTCGCGTTTTACGTCTGGCATAATCAGTCTGTTCAGCGAACGTTAGGTTACTAGAGTATCTAATACCGAGATCTACGACTGAGTTGAGCTTAGCTAGTTTTCGCCCATTTATTTCAAGAGTTAGATCAAGCTTACTGTTGCCGATACAAATCCAGCCGCATTTGTCAATGTTAAAATTTAGACAGGATTCAGCACACCATGTTGCGAGACTACTTAGTTCAAGATGTATTTTAGTAACCATATCGCTTAATTCATGAGTGTAGCAGGAGTAGACGACTTTGAGGTCGTCAGCATATAGGAATGGTTTACCTAAGGTGAAGCACTTGCAAATGCTGTTAATGTAGACTGTGAATAAAAGTGGACCTAGGACACTACCTTGCACGACCCCACTTGAGATCTGCCTAGGATGAGACAATACAGATCCAACTTTGGTTATTTGTACCCTGTTGCTTAGAAATGATTTTAACCAGTTCAGTAATGGGTTGCGAATTCCACAAGAGTACAGCTTCTCAAAGAGAATACTGTGAGATACCATGTCAAATGCCCTAGATATATCGAAGTAGAGAACAACGACTAGCTTACGTGCTTCGCGACTACTAGTGATGCAGTTGAAAAAGTCGAAGTGGCAAGTAACGCAGGATCTATTTTTGAGAAATCCGTGTTGAGACCTTGTAACAAGATCTTCCCTAATTAGGTAGTCTGACAATTGATCTTTTACAACTTTCTCCATGATTCGTGAGATAACTGGGGTTATATTTATGGGTCTGTAATTGCGGACGTTTGCCCTATCACCAGATTTGTAATGTGGAATTATGAAGCTAGTTTTCCACTCACTAGGGTAAGTGCCAGTGTCCATAGATATTGAGAAGAATTTAAGAAGTAACAAGGGTATATCACACCCACTGTTTTTGAAAATTATCGAAGCGAGGCCATCCGGTCCCGTACTAGTGGAAGGTTTAAGGCTTTTAATTGCTTGTACTATTAACTGATTAGTGAACACAATGCTTTCAAGGGAAGAGATAGTAAGGGGAGCGGTTTCACCAGGCATATGTGTTTCTAAACTAAAGTTTGCAAACCAATCACTGAAGAGTTCACAGATAGTAAGTGACTTGGAGTCTTCTTGAAGTTGACTGCCGATACCTTTGACAGCCTCGTATACGTTCCTTACAACCATCGAAGGTCTTCCAAACCTTTGACGTAGTATGCCCATAGCCTCATCGTAGCCCTCTTTTGGCTTCATAAACTTACACCACCGTATAGCTCTAGAAGCAACTCCAGTGCGATACCTCATCAAATACATCAATTTCAATTCATCACTTCATAAAAAGCTACTCAGCATGATCTCAAACTCCTTTACAAATTGTAAATAATCAGCCGGGTTTCCATCGAAACACCGTGGTTCTAATTTAGGGAGTTTGATGTTTCTATTATCCCTGAACGGCGAAACAGTAACATCAACCATGTCATGCTTAACATCAGCCCCATCGTCACAAGTAACAGACAAGTCAACATGACTTACTTTCCTGTTTGCATCCAAGACGCTCTGTCCCTTCTTTGACCCAGGCATTGTTGAACTTGACCCAATTCCAAAAAGTTCCAGATATTGCTTGTTCAAAGAGGACTTGACCGGCACCCGGAAAGATGAACGGTGACTATCCAAACTTTCACCAACTGTCTGAATCCGCCAAAGTCTGTTTCTACCATCAGAAAATGTCAGTCACGTGTCATAAACCCTCAATGCCCAGCTCTTGCTACGCTCGGGCCCACGCTGTTCCTTGAAGTTTCTCAGAAACACTTATTAATAACCGACGAAAAAACCAAAACACCAAATGTTGATTCCAGGATTCTTTATTCTAACACCAACATATAAATCACGTATGACCAAGGTCTGTGAAAATATATTACAATAATAAATCACGAGATTACTTCTGATGGTTTGCTACTGACTTCTTTCTGAACAGCGACCGATGAGACGATGACTGTCGTATTGATGCCTCCGCGAAAATTGGGGAAGTTGATTTTGAGTAAACAACCATGAATTGATCGTTCAATCTTCAACTACATTGACACTGAAGGACGTGGTTCAGTGAAAGCCTTCGACAAACTAATCACCCATCCAATGTGTCTCCTATCGATGAAAGCAAGACTAAGAATGGGGACGTGGTGTGTCCGTGTAATGTACTTGACTGGGATGGCTGCCCAAGTAGCCAACGAAGTGCGGAGATGCGCCATAAAAGTGCTAGGTATCTGCGAGAGCAGGTGGAATAAATGTCGATTATCCAAATTGTTAACTGGAGAGTCAGTAATTTGCCTGAGAGTGAGATGGGGGATGTTGTTTGACGAGGAGATGAGAGATTTCGGGCAACCGTAGTTCAACCTGAAGAGGACGCTTAAAGATAGGACAAAGTGCAGATGTTCGTCGAAGCCCTATGTTCCACCAGGAACTCAAGGGAATAATAGGTAGTAATGCAAGATGACGAACTTCATACTTCAGCTGTTGTTAATGGGAGTTTCGGACCAGCTGGCTTGACTCTACTCTTTGCTCCATGTTGCTACGTTTTTGTTTTTCAATGACATATTTACACAATCGCATGAATCTCCAACTCGACGGTCGTGGAAGTCTCCTGTTCATCTACCACTCTGTCACTCCTACCTCAGGCATTTTTAACGACAACAAACCTGATAAATGCGTCAGGGATTATCTTCACTGTGGTTCCATGTGATTCTTTAGTATTTCGATTAATGCCGATATCAATTTTTAGGGAGCAGAGCATCTAACTTTCACTCCTTAACATTGCAGTGAATTCACATAAAGTCACACCACTAGTAATCCGCCAACTTTAAGCGATCAATGGTATAGTTAACCGAAGCTACAACACCCGAGTGTTGGTACACAACACAGTTTGCCGAAGATCAGAGAGCTTAACCTTATAAGCGAGCCTAAAAGACCAATTAGGCGTACACTGGCTCGTAAAAACGATATTGGCATAACTTCAATGTCCTAAATTTTTTTCATCATTGGCTGTTACAGAGTGATTAGAGTGCATCACCAAGTGGAGTAACATATTTTTTGAAAGGTGCTAGAAGGAATTTAGCCACGGTAAATATCAGCACTATCCATATGAGTTTCAGCTAATGATTTACTATAACAAGTATTTTCATTTCCACAACGAGTTGTAACAATAAATTTATTATGTATGAATTTCCGGTAGTTTCTGTTGTAGCAAATCAGAAGCTTGATCACTCTCATTTGTCGTCTAAAATGGAAAACAAATCTAACTTTAATTGGCCAAATCTGTAAGCCCGAAGCAGTAAAGAGAAATTACTTGATGGAAATACTCCAATGTAAGAGTAAGCTTACACATGATTACTGCGTAATATCGTAAAGCCAATATTTAACTGTGTATTGAAAATACTAATATGTGTTAAATAATGTCTCTATCACCGATGTGTTTTTATCAACTACTTCATTGCCGTCTCTCTTGTCGGACTTATAAACACATATAGCGGTTATTCAAAAGTAGACCTTATTGTCGTGAAGGAAATGAAGAAGTCAGGTCAGAAAAGTCGTCTGTCAAGATTCAAGAGAGCTTTGTATAATCCAGAGAAAAAAGAATTTTTAGGAAGAACTTGCAGAGAATGGGGTTGGTACAATACGTTCCTTTTTGAATAACACTAATTTAGTCCTGGTCTTCATATTTTACGCAGTTTCTTACACCTTTCTGGCAGCTTTTTTCGTCGGGATGTTATCAGTTTTTCTTTATGGGTGTCTAAATAACAATGTTCCATCGTTAACAGGGAACAAAGCATTCTCCGAGGTGGACCAGGTTAGTGAGTGATTTATTAGTATTGTCACATGTTTGAAGCTCACTTACAGCCTAACAAGAGTAAAATTTTTTTTCACTATCCTAAGATTAATATGCTTGTGCTTAGATTAAGTTTCTTGAAAGAGAAATTGTGTTTACGCTCCAAACAAGCATGCATTTCACTACATCTCATTAAAAATGAACTACATTCTGATAAACATCACAAACTTTTAGAAATATCGGCAATCATTGTTCTTATTTTTCTAATATAGTTGGAATTCAGTGTGAAGCAACGTGTGTTCCAGCTGACGTACTGTCGCCAACACATTCCGGTGAGAATTCCTTCAGAAGTATAAAGGAAATTTTAGGTTCTCGTCACTTTTCTGTCTCCATATACCACTAGTGATGATCATAAGTTGATTAATGTCCTGGTTTGCCATTGTAAAAAGCGCTGGACGGGCAGCGAAATTTTTCCACTTGACTGGTTTTATTCCCTACCTGATGGATATATATATATATATTCAGTATTTTGCATTAATGAAGATAAAAGAAATAGTTGTTGCTATTAACGAGAACACTGGATATATGTGTAAAACTTGATATTCCACAAAACGGTGGGTATCAGAACAAGCTCAGGTTATATTGCAACTAATACAGTGATCAATCTACAGCTTGGAGTGTTTTGATCCAGATAAAATGGCTTGTATGTTTGCCCCTTAAAATCTTTCATTCATGTTTGTTTCTGTAACGCTCGCTACATTTTCACTTAACCCACTATTAAACTATTCACTAACTGCTAAATTCCCAACCATAATCCTGTTAATGCTCATAATGTGGTTACTAATCAATTCTAAAAGTAAAAGTCTTTACTCACTCTTTTTTCATGACACAATCACACAAAGTCAACCGATGGAAAATCTTGTGTTAGCATAAAACTAAATGTCAACATGTAGCCGTTAGAATTCCCACATTTTGTACCTAAAAGTCAAGTAAAATTTATGCTAAGGAGTCAAACTGTTATATATAAAAGAATTTTGTAAGAGAAAATAAAAATTCCCGAAAAAATACTCAAAAATTCTTGTTGTGAAGTCGAATTTCCGCGAACTAGATGAAGTTTATGGCTATGAGGAACATAAATTTGTAAAGGCCTATTTCCTAACGTTTCTACTGTCCTACTAAAACTGATGTTAACTAGGCTTTAAACAGTAGCCTAACTTGTGAATACTGATAGATATTAAAGGATTGGAGGTTGTGTTTACGATAAAGATGGTGAGCTTATAGGGCAAGTAAGGGCTAAGCTAGGACCTATAAGACAGCGTATATTTGAAGAATGAAAACAGCACTTTAGCTTTTTTGTTTGTAGGTTAGTTACAACAAAAATTAAAACATCCTAAACATTCAGGGACAAACTATCGGATTGTTTAGTTAACATTTAGCTATTTAATTATTCATCTTCTTCTTTTAGACAGGTGAATTTTAGGGCTAGCAGGGTGTGCCATAGTCCAATACAGTATTATCTATAATATAGGATATGTATACTTTATATTTATCTTAATTCGTTTAATGACATTTTGTGAAGTAAATAACATGGTCAGTGGTGTTTGAAATGTTTCAGATGCCATCTTTTTCGCTGAAAAAGCGATTTCCGAACTTTATATTTACGGAAACAACTTGAACGATAAGTTATCACTACTTTAAATATGATGGAGACTAATAAATATCAATCAACGTAATATGCATTTAGTGGCTGAAAATGCCTGTTTATTTCAGAACTTTGTGAATCAAGGAGCAAAATTAATTAAATAATTAAAAGTCGTTAATAATTCAAACTTTCTAATGTAAACAGACTGTAATAAGGATTTTTATTTTTCTGAAATTAAAAAGTTAATTTGATGAGGAAGTTAATAGTCTAAAATAACAAATTTCAATCGATGATATTTGTGGAGAGAAAAGCTTGAGAAAGAAACGTTTTATTCAGCCTTCTACTTTAGGGGGATATAAATAGGAACATTATACTAAAACAGATAGAAGGAGTAAAAATTCTTCAGAGTCATGAATTACTATTTTTCTACTACGATTAGGCTAAGTACTTTCATGCTGCTGGTTGATTTATTGATAAATAAAAAATTATCTATAGCTTAAACAAAACACACTGTGTCATTTGGAATACCTAATTATGTGCAGATAAACTGAACATGATGGAGGTATAGTGGCAATACTAATTGTCAAATACTGTATATTCTTTTTCGAATAGTGAACACACTTTTATGTGGTAACGATTTGGAAGACTAAGACGTCAGGGTTTTTTGATATAAACTACAAGACTAAGATGAATCTCCCTAAAACTGGTAATAATAATAATTATTCTCAACCAAAGAATCATTTGAAAATGACTGGAATCATACACGCCTGCAAACTCACTTCCTTGGTTATACCTTATATTCTTGCTGGCACCTATGGTGATGTAACTATTATTTTACGTTGCACACCCATCATATGACTTCAGGTTTGCTTACCAAATCATGTTCTTGTCCCAGATTCATTTGTTCCTACTTTACATTCATTTGTTATCTCAGTTCTGTAAAATGTGCTGTGACCAGATTGTCTTTATTCAAGTGCTGAACTTTGGCAGAAATAAAATAGTGAATATTAGTATAAATTTCTGGTTTAAAATGAAACTATTTTGAGGAATTTTCTCTCTACTGAGAAATTTTAGTTACAGAAGTAAGTACTACTTAACCTGGAAAGAGAATTACTTATCATTGCTGAAATTTAGATTACAAATCGAATAATTTTATTTTCGGTAACTTACACTGTTATTTAATCAATTTAAGCTGTTTTATACTTTTTTAAGTACTCCGAACCTCTTAAATTTGGTCATGTTAGTCTCCATTTTCATTTCTATTAACTTGATGGTGTTTTACATTTCGATTTCACATAGGAATTGAGCTGGCAGTTAGACCGAAGCCCTATAGCACTTTTATTCAAGTTGCGGGAACCTCATCTCCGATCAATAAAGAATATGTTAGCAAATATGAACAGTTAACCAGAAACTATGAAAACACTGTATCAAATGAGAACTGTGGCTCTGAGGGACAGCACCCAAAAGATCCTAATGTCCCATGCAGCTTCAATACTAGCCTTTTAGGAGAGTGTATGGAACTTGAAAAATCTTTGAACCAAGGAAAGTTATGCCTGTATCTTAAAATGAATCGAGTAAGTCTTTATTCTTCTCTTATTTTTGCCTTTATTTCATAACTATATGTATACATATCAGATAACATGAGATGATCTGCTTTCACACCAGTGGTAATACCGGTTCAATCCATTTGTCATTCTGAAGTTATTTTATTATTTCCATAGGCTGTTCAACCGACATACAAGTAAATAGGTAGCGAACTAATTTACTCCGACGGTCAGGCAGTAATTCTTAATAATTTTATAAAGGGACAACACCAGTAAATCATTTTACATTCTGTACAAAATGGTGTAGTGGGGGAATACTTCAAAATCCTATTGTGTGATAGTTTCTACTTAGATCACAGAATGAAGTGAGCTGTCTTTACTTCTGCAAGAGTGATTTACTAGCTGCACTTAGTGACCTTAATCATGTTTTTTTTGTTTTGAAGAATATGCTGAAGTTGGCTGAAAGCCTTTTCGAATTTAGCTATCTAATTGACTTGATCTATGACTTTGCAATAAGTTCACGTATTTCATACCGGTTGATAGATTGAGTTTTGATCAGTACATCTATTGATTTGGTCTAATATTTTTGATGTCATCGAAATCATGCTCGGCTAGAATAAAGGTACTACATTAAAGTTAGATAATTGAAGTTTACAATGATAAAAATAGGGAATATGAAGACTTAGTATCACGTATTAGTTATTACAGTATTAAATGTTCCTCTCATCAGTAACTTTACACGGACATTTCAATTTTAGTACTGATTTACACTTTAGATATATGGCTGGTTACCTGATATCAAAGATTCTTCAACCATTTCCTCACCCGCTATTGAATGTAGAGGCACAGTAAGTAAAATGATATGAATTTTTATTTATGCATACAATATTATAAATGATATAGGGAGTTGAGTGCAATTGTATATTATCATTTAAATGATTCATGTGTAATTTTCATTTAGTTCTGGTAAACACACAATGGAAAAAAAGTGATTAAAGCTGCTACACATCACAAGAGCAAAATCTGTAGGTAAGCAGAATTGTGAGGAAAACAAAGTGGTAGCCAGAGGAGTCCACCAAGTCAGACAAGAGGATAGCTTCTCGCCCATACGATTGACTAGCAGCTGGGCTATACATCGTGAACTGGTAGAAGTTGGAATTCATGGATCAGTGGATCAGGTGTCATTGGCTGAGAGGACTATACGATCTCTCGCCTTTTAACTGGAATGTCTTGGGTTGAAACCCTGGTGGGTGGTACTGGTGAAGAGTTTCGAACTAAGGCGAAACAGCTGTACAGTACTGCCTGTAGTTTTTCCAATGGTTATCTAAATGATGTCAGCTAGTGATCAATCCTGGAAACAAAGCTTACAAAAACCAAAGACGCATAAATTTGTAGCTATGAATTTGCTTCCTAATCATGGTAGACACACTGAAAATATTCTAAGGAAAGCAGTGACTGAAAGTATTTCGTGACTTTCTTAACACGTTTGACTTTATTCATTCTCATACTACACAGAAATTTTTCATGTAATGGAACATAAGAAACGCTTCTTCTTCTCATCACTTTCCAAAAGTATAAGTATATAATGAAAATAGATAGCCAGGAAAAAAAGATTCTTGTTGTTGTTCACACTTCAATGAAAGAAATTATTAAATACTAGGTTAGAGTCAAACCATTAATACGAAAAATAAAAAAACGGAAACTTTACAGAGTGAATAGTAACATCTGTCTCTAACATCAAACAGAACGTTCAAATAGGTATATCGTATTCTGTTGTTACTGCTGAATTGAACTGTGGGAACATGTGAGAACTTCATTCTGTTGGCATACATTGTCTGTATCACACCACCTCAATAGTACTGACTTTACTGATGGGAAAAGAGCTGGGTAAGAAACTGGAATAATATGAGTGTGTCGTATTAATTTAATTGCTGATAGTTGGTATAAAGGGATGCATAAGATGCAAATTACAGCTTACACTATGAATAATGTATCATTTTTACATTTAGAACTCTCTGGCTTACTTCATTTTTGCAGCAGGAGTGATATCCATGCAACTGCTCTGTAGTTCACCCAGTCCTCCTCTAAGGTAGTGAAACATGTTAGTCGAAAGTAGGAAATGTTTAGAGTTTGAAAGCCTTTGGATATAAGTCTCCCCCCCATGTCTTTTGTGTTAGGTGGTATGATATGTTAAGTAATGATGAGGTTAGGTGTAGAGCCTTAGGTAAGAAGAAAAATTCAATCGGTGAGATTGCAAAATTACTCAGTTTTAGGTGGCTAGGACATATGTTGCACGTATCGAATCATCTCCTAACTCAACGATCACTGATAGATGATAAAACAGTTGGGCTGGAAAAAGTCAGGTATGGTTAAACCACAGCAGGTATTAGTGCATGAAGTATTTGACTGTTGCTTTGAGTTACATACGGAGGCATAGACTACCTGGTTGGGGTTCTAAAATGCTCCAAAGCGAGAGGTGGAAACGGTCAGTGAGATGACTCATTCATTCATTCTTCATAATCTGTCAGATTCGTTTAGTCCTTTATTATTCCCCAAGTAATTCTTTTAGCAGTTCTTTTCTCTATCCTTATGTATGCTTATCAGATGCGTGACAGCTTGAACTGTTGCCCTTTTGTGCTAAGTTCTACACTGAACACTCATTCACAGTCAGTCAATATATTCATTTACATAAAGAAGCATAATACGGTTGTCTGATTTAATAAGGATCAATATTGACACCATTGGTTGGATCACTCAGCAATAATGTATTTAATGATTCAAAATGCTAACGCAAAATTAAAATCAATTGAAGAATGAATTCATACATGTAATTTGTTGCATATAATCATTTGTCGTTCAGTGAAATAAAAATAATTTTAAAAAATAAGTTGTCTTTATTTAGAAAAGATTTGTTCCCAGTTTCACTACGCGTTGATATCAGTTGGAAAACCACTGAAAACCCCTGGGGTATTGAACCGCTGTTTCACCGCAGTTTGGGACTCATCAGCAGTACACACACACTCATGAAACAAATCAAATCCTTACAAAATAACTCTTGAAAATTAGTCTAGTATTTGCTAGTGACTGGATGCAAGAAGAAGTTGATAGGAGTTCCAATGAGAAATAGTGACCAATGAGGTCCATCCCGTTGGTAGTGAGGACAAATATTCAACCATCACACTGATTGGTAGTAGCCGTGAAATCAAGAATTGATTGAAGTTGGAATTCATGGGTCACCTAGTCATGTCACAGTGGCTGATGGGGCTAGGAGCTTGCTTTTTAACTGGAAGATCCTGGGTTGGAACCCCGGTGGGTACGTGCTGCCAAGGAGTACCAAACTAGGATGAAATGGCCGTCTAGTACTCCCTGATTTTTAATAGTTTTCTAAATGGTCTCAATTCGTGATCAAACTCAAAACAAATCAAACCCCTGAAAACTAATTATTTATAGTTTGAAAAAATTATTAGTCTATCATTTACATAAAGAATGGATCGTATTTATTGTTAGTAAATGATAAATATGAAATATATTTTGACTTTACTTCAGGCAGATGGACAATGTTTTAAAGTAATTAAGCAATACTGAATAGCATTTCAAAAATTACCACTTTTCACATCCACTGACTGTCTATAAAAAATATATTAGAAAGATGAAGTTGATAAGAAAAAAAAATGCTCTAAATTAGTAGAATACTAAAAATGAAGGACAAAGGTGAAAAGGGAATTAACAAGAACTATTATTATATTCAGGATGGATATGAAATATGGGTGTTATGATTTTAATTCTTATCATGCAGAATGATAAACTTACAATTTTAGTTACCTTACTGACTATAGATGGCTATGTGACAAAGTCTTTGCTGTACTGTCCAGGTTAACCATTTAGTATCCTTATAAAATTGAGTGATTAACTAATAGCAATAATTGTTTTACTTTTATCACACTTTATTTAAACTGTGAAAAGGACACACTTATCTTGTCACTTCAAGAAAATAAGGTTGTATTTTACTGCATTTTAGATTTAAAAATCAAGAAACATTGAATTATACTCAACTATAACGCTGAAGTTCTACTGTTATATTCAGTTATAATACATAAAGCACTTTGGTCTTTTACTTAACACTGGTAGTGATATTTATTATTCTTATGAAATAGGGTACTACCGACTTAAACAGTTGGCCTTTAATCTGACTTTCGATTAGATTTCGTGTAGATAATACGCACCAATTTAAGTGGGGGAAAATTCAGTGATGTATTATCAACAGTGTTCGTACATATGAGTTGTATGAAAGCATACGTTGAGAAAGCCATCGAATGACATCGCGCGCCAGGACATCAGTCGAGTGGAATCCGAATGGGAAACGACGAGTAGGCCATCCTAGTTTGATATGGGGGAGATCAAGCGAGGGGAAGATGAGAGATTATTGGCAATCGTGGACCCGGCTGAGGAGGACAGCAGAAAATACAATAAAGTGGAGATGTGTTGTTGAAGCTATATGTTTCACTTGGAACCCAGGGGAATAATAACAATATAATACAATATAAAGGCTTAAATAATCACCTACATTTGAATATTACTATTATGTTTATATAAGCTAACTGCATATGAATGTGTAATAAATGAACTGTCTTCTAGCGACACTTTGTCACTAGCCTACTCATTGAACCCCACATTTTGATCAGCATATACCTGGAAGATTGACCTATACATTATAGAATCTTTTACTTTTGAATTATAGTAATAAAAATTCATAAGTTTTTATAATATACTCTCTTAAATAAGTGAAACATTTTGAAAGGAAATATGTTAGGGAATAAATATATTATTGTAGTGAATCTTTGACTAAAAATAAGACAGCCGGTTATTTTTCTTTATTTCGTATATTTTGTGTGAGATGCAATAGAAAGCCATCTTGTTTTTCAACAGATGTACTTCAAGTACAAAGGCACTGTTTACCTCTATTCGCTAATAATTGTATTCCCAATATGTTAATTCATGATGACACCACACAGACTAATGCAACTTGATATTATATATATATATATATATATTCATATCAGATATATCCACTAAAAAGACGGATTGCTTTTAAATATTAGTCGTAAAGCTAAATCTGTAACGTTGACCAACACTGATGAAGAGATAGTTATAGAATCTTTAAATCTTTAATGGACAATTAACAGGAAATCCCAGTTATCAAAAAGTAAAGATTCCTAGAGAAAGAGTTTGGAGAAAAAAACTGAATATATGTGTAAAACTTGGGCACTGTGATAGTAAGTAATTCTATATTAGTTTGTTTATTATATGTATCACACAGTGAAACGGTGTTATTTACTGGATGACGTTTCAAACAAAATTTATTTTTCATAATCAAATCAATTGTAATCACACGACTTCGAAACTTGAGTTTTATAGCTTTCTTTGTCCTCTCCTATTTGTCGTCGTTCGGGTAGTAGAATTTTCCAGATATCCGCCTGGACAGGTGTTGAATTATTCCTATTACACGTGTTTGCAGTCGATTCGATAAACAAAGCTTCTGTTACCAATCTCTCCCTCAACCCTGTGACATTAGATATTAAAACTGTCATCTTATTCCATCCAGCCTACTGTATGGTTGTGTGTACCTGCATGTAGTGCTATAGCCAAAATAGTCTCTAGATTAGTAGAACAAGGGCAGTCAGACTAGCCGAACATAAAAACCCAGCAAAATCTAGATTGGTTGACCCGAATAAAATAAGAAATCTACAGAATAGTTCAGCTAAAGCACTCACTACGTGCAATCACACACAACCATACAATAGGATGGGATAAGATGACAGTTTTAAAATCTAATGTCACAGGGTGGAAGGAGAGATTGGTAACAGAAGCTTTGTTTATCGAATCGACTGCAAATACATGTAATAGGAATAATTCAACACCTGTCCAGGCGGATATCTGGAAAATTCTACTACCCGAACGACGACAAATAGGAGAGGACAAAGAAAGCTATAAAACTCAAGTTTCGAAGTCGTGTGATTACAACTGATATGATTATGAATAATAAATTTTGTTCGAAACATCATCCAGTAAATAATACTGTTTCACTGTGTGATACATCTAATAAACAAACTAATATGGAAAAAAACTGAACATATGCTGATAGGCCGTTAAATAAAAACCAATGTACTTGAATAGTCTACGTTGACTGAAAACTGTTGAACGAGTGTGTTGTTTGGGGAATACTTAAACAATCAAGTGTTGGTTTTCAGGAATTTGATTGGTCACAGGTTCAGTCACGAGTTGACATGAGTTAGAGAATCACTGGAAATCCTGCGAGGAGTATTGTACACCTGTTTCACCTTAGTTTGAGTCTCCTCATAGGGTTCAAATTCAAGGCCTTCTACTTACAAGGCAAGCTCGTAGACCATTCAGACACTGGGACTCGACTCAGTGATCCATGAATTCCAGCCTCTGCAAATTCACAATGCATGTATGTTGCAAACCCAGCTAATCTCATAGGCAAGTAACCCATCTCCTATCTGAATTGGTGGACCCCTCCCTGGTCACTATCTCCCACACTAGAACTCCAGGTAACATTCTGTATAGGGTCAGTAAATGATATGACACCACTGGGTGTTATGTCACAATGTAATTTTATATTAGATATGAGGAAAGTAAGTTTGCAGGAAGCTGTGAACCTAGACTGTGTGCTCCAAAGCACTCGTCACTCTGGTTGTTCTAGAAAGTCAATTAATCAGTGCTGTAATAAGCTGTTTCACCATGATAATAAATTCAAGTACTTTAATTAAATATCAACTTTAGTTGTTTTAACTGTGATTCAGTGTAGGTAAGTAAACTGATAAAAGCAGAAAGTTATTCCATTGAATTTAATTAACCCATAGGCAACCTTGAAGTTTACAGATTACTGAAAACACACTTTGAAATATTTGAAAAGCATATCGCTCTACTCTGTAAGGTATTCCCTAAAGTGATAATATTTTCGACACCACATGTTGTTGCAGTAACTCTTGTTTTTATGATTAACAGAAAAAAACCTGCTTTATTTGCTTTTTCAATAATGATGCAGTCTGATATTATCTCTATTTTAGAATGAGTTTGACAGAGAAGCACTTGGTCCAGTCAGATATTTTCCAGAAATTTCAGGACCAGATGGTAAAAAATAGTAAGTGGCTTTAAATGATACAATATGTTTGTTTATTCAGCGTAATACGGTTGAAGTAATTATTAAAAGTGACTTTACTCAAAATTATTTCTTCGATACATCTCTTGGTGAAAGAAGTTTAGAAGTAAATTATTATTCCGTTAGTAATAAGAATTAAAAATTTTAACTAATTTATTCCTTTGCCTGCTAATTGGAATATTGGGCTTTAAGCCTGAGATCTGAGGTTCCAGTGGCAGTGGTGTTTAGTTTTACGCGGTAGGGTTGCTAGCCTCATGCTAAATCTCCTTTCCACCGGCCGGGAATCCAACCCCGGATCACTTGTGTGGTTTGCGACTGGCTGCGTTAATCAATTGCGGTTGCTGAGAAATGTGCTTTGGAATACTCTCGATGAACCTGGAAGTCTATAACTATGACTTTGACTTTCCATCCAACATGGAGAGTACGCGATGAAGTAGATTTTTCAGCTTCAGCGCCAACAATAATGGGTCTCCATCATGTCCCAGCTTCGTGGTACGAAACTGGCGGATTGCTAGTTGCCTGTCCGTCGGGTTGTCGAAATCCACCACCAATCTTTCAACCGATACCTCCCAGGTCCCTTTATCGTCAGACCACTCTACACTATCGCACACTGCCTTTGCCCGACATGTCAGCAGCGTCCCTAGCACAGCTGCCTTTGCTTTCGGATCCTTGACGCCCACCAGCTCAGTGACAACATTGAAGTCCCACAAGAAACTCGTGATTTCTCCTTCTTCGAAAGCAACAGGCCATATGATATTCATTGTCTGGAGGCAACGGCACTAAATGTAACGGAAGAAGACAGGAGACTTGGAAACAGAATTTTTATTTGTTATTCGATATACAAATATAGGGTAATTATGTAGATCATATATTAAAATCGTCACTTGCACAGATCTTTGATGTTGTGCTACTTCAGCTCTTCATATTTTGTTTCTTTGTTTTCTTATGGTGTCTCCCATATTCTGCTGCAATACTGGTTCATTTACTCTCTTTGACGTCAAATTCGTCTATCTGTTATTTGATATTTGTGTTTAGATGAACGTCTCTTTATACACCAGAGATAAATCTTGTCAGTAGCACACGTCATACTACCAGTGAACTACTGACGCAAAATAAAGACTGCTATTTAACAATAATGTATCATACAGTTTAGTTTGTAAGGGTTAGTTATGTTTTTACGAGTTGAACATGGATTGAAATCAGTTAGAGAACCGTTGAAAACCAGGGAGTACTGGACAGCTGTTTCATCCTAGTGCCTGGGAATCATCGGCAGTACACACCCACTGAGATTCGAACTTAGGACCTTTCGGTTACAAGGCAAGCTCGTATACCATGCAGCCACTGAGACCCGATTCAATGGCTCATGAATTCTAACTTCCAACAGTGGCTACATACTGCCGATGATTCCCAAACTAGGATGAAACAACTGTCCAGTACTTCCTGGTTTTCAATGGTTCTCTAACTGATATCAATCCGTAATCAACCTGTTAAAAAATAATGTATCCTTCATAGAACCTACTTTCTGAAGCGACACACAGTGTCATTTCGGGGTGTAAATGTATGGATAATACTCGATGTCAAATATAAAAAGATGTTGTAACTAAGTCTCAATATACGATTTATACTAAAGTCCGTCCAATGTAATGATCATTTTCGTTCTGTGCTCTGTCATCTTAAACGTTGAACTGACCTTATCCTCCTATTGAAGTAGGAGATATAATTCAAAGGAAGGGATAATTTAACGCCAGTCGCCTTTTCGATTATTTATAAACGTATGACGCTTGATCTTTAATAATTAAATTTGCACCTTCAGTTCTGTAGTTACTGTGTAAGCATATATAAATATATATGAATACTCCAGTTGTTCAGTAAGAGAATATTGACCAACCACATTCGTGATCTGGAGTTCATTTCTCAACCGACTAATTCTTATGCCTCACTTAGTAGGTAGCGAAACCGGTAAAGAAGGGAGGTTGAGCGCATACGGCTAGCAATCATGTCCTGTTAAAAGAAACACACCCTTCTACTGAAACTTCGGAGTTCATACTTGAAACCCTATGCGTTCCACTAGGAAGACAAAGGCAAGAGAAATGTAAACATATAAACCAGATAGCAAAAATGCTGTTCAAATATTTCAGGTGGATACACTTTTTTTCCTTCACGTTCCCCAGTGGAACATAGGGCTTCAAGCTAGCGACTTGAAGTTTTTGTAGCAGTGTTTATTTTACAAGATGGGGTTGCTAGCCTCATGCCCAACCTTTCCTCTTTACCAGCATTACTTTTGGCTTAGCGAGTTAAAGGAGTGCGTCGGCCGAGGATCGAACCCCGGACCATGTGCATGGTCGGCAAGCGTCCTAACCGCTATGCCACCGACGCTAAAATGGATACACACACACACTTAACTAGTTTTTCTTGTAACATCTATTTTTGAATCATCCACTGATGATGCTGATGATGATAATATATTTCACACAAAATACACTTAATTCATTGATACTTAATTTTTATAAGCCACAACATCCTAGTTTAGATTTTTGATTATGAAAAGTGAACATGATTTAGTGTAATTTAACAATATGATCGATATCCAGTGTGAATCAACTTCAATAAGTAGTGAATAATACTAATATAATGCAAAGCTGATTTGAGAGTCATATCTTATATATGTAGCATTTCATCTAATCAATACGAAGATATCTTTTTGAATTAAAATATACGCGCCTGTGAAACAACTAACAATACTTCATTCTTTCTCTTTTTTTTTTGTTTTTTGAATTTTCAGTGGTTCAATATCGAACAATTACTTTCCATACTTGAAAGTTAAAAATTATCAAGCCCCGTTAGTTGCTGTCCAATTTCCCAATATAACAAGGAATACTGTTGTTTTAGTTGAATGCCGTTTAGTTGGTTTAAAGAATTCTGATGGCAGCACAAACTTTGAAGTATGTGTAGATGACAAATAGGATAATACTACTTGTTTTGTTTCGGGTTGTTTTTTTCCACAATTGTTTTGTTTGTGTTATATATACATATAATGGAAAAAAAGAGCAAATAAATAAAAATAAAACACAACAATTCTGACAAATGCTGAAAATAAAGGTGTGTAGTGTCTATTGAGTCTGGTATTCAATAGTTATATAATAGTTACAATAACTTTTTAGTATTTCATCTTATTACTACCATTTTGTTGTTGTAATTTACTTGTCAGTTAAATATAATCACCTATTTATTATTAATTAGTCAATGATGTAATAAATTTTGACCAGAGGTTTTTCTCACTTATATTTTCAAATTTAAATGTGGTGCTGCCTGATACTGCTCCCACTGTTACCTCCACTACTACAACTACGACTACTACAAATTCTATCTAGTGTTTCTTTTAGTTGGAATTCTTAATTATAAAGATAATAACGGTTTAGTGAATTAATTCGATTGATGAAACAATTTCCTCAGATGAAAAATAAACAACAACCTATTTATTTTTCTTCTCTTCCTTTAAGTAAATTCAAAATCACCTGTTTTTTCGTCTAATTCTTATTGTGTTTATGTCTTTATCTTCTTTTATTCTCATGACGTAACTTAAAGGTTGGTAGGAAAACAGGGGAATATTGACAATAACAATAACAGTAATAATAATAATCTTATAATAGTACATTTCTATGTACAATTCGTGTATTTCTTCAGTTGTTTATCTATTAATATTTGCATATTTCTATCTTTAATAATTGAATATTTATTATTTATTACTAGATTTAATGTATTTCTTTATACTTGTTATATGATTAAGTATTATGTTGTGTTGTGCTGTGTTGTACTGCCCTGTGTGTTCGAACTAGCCGCCTTGCCATCTTAGCTAATATAAATGAACATCAACACTAATCAACCAATAAAACAAAAGAGTAAATAGTCAATATGATCAAATGTAATTATACTATCCGTTTGTTTGTTTATTTTTCTCCCTTTCTAAATAACAAATAACCTTGTTTATTAATTAATTAATTAATTAAAATATTACTTATCACTTTTATGATGATTATAAGTAATATGTTCATGAATATAATTTTATTGAGAAATCCTCATCAAATGATGATTGGGTTGTTGTATACACTTTAATAACATACAAGTGTATATAGATGTTGCATTTTTGCATCTGTGCGTGTGTGTTTGCGCGCGTGTTTGTGTGTGTGAGAGAGAGACAGAGAGCAAGTGCGTTTGTTTGTTTACCTATAATCATAAATAATGACTGACTGACTGACTGGCTGAAATATCTCCAAACGAAAAATGAAGATTTTCAACATTTGGTACTTGCACTATATTAAAATATCCTGACTTTAAATTTAATGTAAAACAAAATTTGCACACTAATTTTTTTGTTTGTTTGGTTAGTTGGTTGGTTGATTGTTTTATTGAAATATCTATTGATTAGTTAGTAAAAACGTATCAAATTTAATAAGATATTTGAAAAATACTCTAAACTGAATGATAGTAGAGTTTTTATTGTCTATTTCATAATAAAGGTTTGTGTAATGTATGGTTTTTCATTCAAACTGTGTATTTTGATGTGGTTTTGTTCTCTGAGCTGGATAGTTAGTTTGCGCAAACTAACTATCCAGCTCAGAGAACAAAACCACATCAAAATTATCCACCTGAGCTACAAATCTTCTCTATCATATCTAAATCTTACGAGCGGGATACGCTTCTCTCTGTTCGAAAGTGGGAAGACTTCGCCAAAAGGCAAGGATCCACCAGAGAACAATTATTCTTTCTCCATAACGCAAACTAACTATCCAGCTCAGAGAACAAAACCACATCAAAATTATCCACCTGAGCTACAAATCTTCTCTATCATATCTAAACTGTGTATTTATATTTTGTTTGAGGCTATATGTGATAAGGCTGAATTAATCATACTATAGTGGATAAAAGGGAACAGTTGTTATTATGTTTATAGTATCATTTACTGTCCTACAGTATAGTACATGAAAAACTGTAAATTTTAAGGTGAATGAATAGTGATTAGAATGTTGAAATGTGTATTATGCTGACTTGGTTGCTGATAGTATTTCAAATGTAGTTACTCTTAACCACGACCGGCATACATTAAGTGTTTCAGTGGAAAGTAATGAATACAATCTTTAACTAGTAAATAATTCGACATATTACTTATTATTACTATTATTGTTGTATTTGGTTCCCAGTGGACCAAATGGTTTCAGCAGCACCCTATTCTCTGAAGGTTTCTTCAGCTGGCCCATAAGCTTTCATTTTCTCCTACATGTCACCGGTGGACACCCAACTCCTTGGTTTCCTGAAGTGTTGGTTTGTAGGGATTTGATTGGTTACAGGATTTCATTATGAGCTGACATTGGTTAGAGAACCATTGGAAAACCTGGGAGTACCGGACAGCTGTTTCGTCCTAGTTTGCGGCTCTTCATCAGTACACACCCACTGGGATTCGAACCCAGGACCTTCGAGTAAAAGTGCATCACCTCGAGTTGTCACACTATGAAAAGACATACTAAACAGAAGTATTACAATAATAAAATAAAATGTTATGCTGAATAGGATGATAAGAAATAAATATATACGAAAAAATATGTGTAAATTTAAATCAGTTGATCCGAAGCCTCTAACGATGGACTTTTAACATCCTGACGACACAAGCCATGAGACTAGAACTTTTCTTCTGTGCAAATACCAACGTTTAATGACTGCATGGATTGGTACCATATTTTTTATCAGACCATCCAAAAAGCAAATTTAACTTAGTCCTAATTCGGGTAATATCGCTGGTGAGCAACATGATGAGTGAGTATAGACAACACATGTACAAATCAATTCAGTCGATGAAAATTAATTCCCCTTCCGATTAACTTGCCTTCCTTGCGAAACATTAAATCCTACCCCAAACTCCTTTCTAGGATGTTTCGCTTCATATAAAAGATCTATAATTAAAATCTTTTGCTTTTTGTGTCTCATACTTTCAGTTGCTCTATATTTTAATCATAACTTTGAGCAGAGCGAACTAGTCTGCAACAGATTCGCTTTCTGACTAGTCGCCGTTGAATTTTCAGACTGAAATTTACTGAATTTCAGTAGGAGTAAATCTATTTAATGAGTGATTAATGAAAGTGAAATGAAAATCTAGATAATGGCAGTACTCGAACCACAGGCTTTCAAATTACCAGTTCGACATCCTGCCAACTGAGGTACGAAAACTTACTGTTCCAATCAGTTCATCATTTCACTAAAATCACTACTACCAGTGCTGTCTGAATGATACATACGTTCCCATCGGTTTATTATCATCATCACACAAACTCTCCGGACAAGTCTTCTTCTGTCAATCCTAATCACTTTGGATTAGTAGAAGAGGGTGAAATTGTCGGTGAGACTATCTAAAATAGTGTCTGGTTAGTAGACTGGAAAGTTGATGTGGCGATAATTAAACAGGGAAACATATGACTCATTCACACGGCACCTGGACATTACCTGAGATGACTTTAGTGCAATGACGATCTGGTTGTCAGTTTGATCTCACAGGTTCAGCTGGCAAACTATTAGACTAGTAATGTCGTCCCTTTCATTAACTATAAAATCGAAACGTTTATTTCTAGCTAATAAGAAAATTTCAACATCTATCTTCATTGGCTCCATAATGAAGATCGTATGACCGGTCAGAAAGTATTAGCAACAATAAACTCTGGCTGGGAAGAAATCAACCAAGAACCGATTGCTCAACAAATATGTAGGAAAAAGTGGAGATGTATAGAGTGTACACTGAGGAGGTCATTGAATGACATCGCGCACCAGGCCATTGCTCGAGTGGAATCGAAGTGAGACACGGTGAGCTGGGCTTCCGATGATGGCATGGAGTAGATCGTGCGAGGAGGAGATGAGAGACTATGGGCAATCACCGACTCAGATGAAGAGGATAGCAGAAAATAGAACAAAGTGGAGATGTGTTGTTGAAGCTGTATGTTCCACTCGGAACCCAAGGGAATAATACTAACAGAAACTGAATAAACATAAAGAGAGAATAATTATTGGTAAAGTATGAATGCAAATTATCATACTTTAGCATAAAAGGATTACGATCATAAGAACTGGAGGGGTTGAACACACTTTTTCGGTATGCAGTGATCAAACTTTTCTATTTTGATGTCCAATGCTTCAGCAATACAGATGAGTCAGATAAGTAATGATTTGGGCCAAGTTTATATTCCTACTTGTAGGCATATATTAAAGGATGAGGTTGTAGAGTCAATTATTCTCTGTTCTCATGTGAAACAATTACTTAATAGGCGTCTCAGTATCTGGACAGTATCATTAAATAATTATTAAGGTTAGTAGTTTATGAGAAAATTAATTAATATATCTGGATTATTCACTTTCCTAAAACGCTTTACACTGTGATTCCTCCCTTGATTATAAAATGACCTCAATCTTTGTTTAATATCATTTGTGAATCAAACATGTTTTATTTAGTTTAATTCATATTCGATTATCATGTGATAAGAATTAAATACAGCTGAAAATTTCAATTCTCACTTTAATATTATTAATATTATCATTATAAATTTCAATTTTATCTCTTCGTGTTCGGTAAATAATAATAATATCTGGCTTAAACGTATATAAACTCAATTGTCCATTTAAAGGCTTACCTGTATATATATACACACATACTATTTCCGGTTGTATTTTAGTGGTTTGTGAATTACTAACATTCAAGCTTAAGGTCAAGACGTAGTCCTTCACATTGTCGACTGCTAGTTATTTTTATAAACTGTCAATTGTACACCAGTTTAATACTAAGCATATATATATATATATATAATTCGTTTTGGCGTTTTAGATCATGTAAATGGCCTAAGGATAGGGAGAAGTTGTAGGTGGAACAAAAATGCTACTTAGTGCACGTATGCAGTCCATCATTACA